ACATAATAGACGCATCGGCTGATAAGCTGGCTGAAGCTATTTTGTTGCAAGAGAAAAATATTGTATCACGACTGATAAGCCACGAAGCTACGAGCGCCTTCATTTACCAGGCGTTCATTCAGAAGATCTGGTCACCCGGCACCATGTACCAGTCGTCCATGAGATCAGCTCTGGCCTGGCCGCCAAAGCTTCCAATCTCTCCAATACAACCCTGTGTGTCCTCCAGATACTTCAAGGGACAGAGGATTCCTTAGGCTCTGAATATGACGGCAATGGATTGTCACAGATGCTGCAACCAAGCCAGGTTCCATTCTGAAAACAAAAGGTGGTTTCCTAGTTTCCACAGGTATAAAAGAGCCGCTGAAGCAATCGTGTCGTACAACACATGTTTTTTCCCCCAATCACAAAGCCCGTATTTAACTTGCGATTCAAATCTAAAACAACCAGTACAGCACCAATTTCAGCAACACATCACCACATCTGCCTAGCAACTACATGTAATGCTTTAGGTTCAGTGCACAACAGACAGCTCCCACCCTCCAGGCTCTCTGAGATCTATTTTTTCTTGCCTGTGTAATGGTGCGAACTGCAGGTGGTAATCTTCAGAGGTTCAAGGGTCCATGTTGTTAGTAGTAGGAACAATTCCCATGGTGATATCTGCAATAAAATAGACGTCTGAGCATTTCAGTTGATAATAATGGGCATAATGAGGTCAGAATGTTTACACTTTGAATTGTGAGATAATTACAGTTGTATGTTATGACGTGTTGTCTAAGGGCATGTTTAGAACGTAGAGGAACAGTTCAATTTCGCAAAACAGGTATGTGTACAGCAACCCACAACATGTTGATTGACTTCTTTAGAGCGAAAAGAGTCTGATTAAAGAGATGGACTTGGACGCTTGGTGTGCTTTTTACTTTTTAGCAGACGACATTTTCTGAATGAGAATAGCTGCTAACCAAAACTAGAGAGAGCACGTCTATACGAGCAGGATGTCGAAAGATACGACAAATTGGCAATCTGTCATGGGCTTAGGGGCCAAGGCGGCAAGGCCCAGCAGCCGACACACCAAGGAAATCGTACTGTTCACTACGAACGGTGCCCATGGCTACAATAGCACAGCTGTCGGGAAACTTCACCCAAAACCCCAATTCCTACACCTTACCCAGTTCGGCTCAAATATTCAATTCTGCTGCCAGCTGCTGCGGCTGCAGCAGTTCTGGCTACAGGGACCGTGCGTTTACAAGCCGCAGACGGCAGACCCAGCTGCAGCAAACAGCGCCTAAATCTCTCAGCAGGCCTGGTGGTGCTCTGTGTCCCCAGCAGCAACGCTAGTGCTTCGCCTCCATGGCAGCGATGCATAGTTGGACGGAGGCGCCGATAATCTCAACAACATATATCCAAATATATCTCAAAAGCCCCGCCAATGCTTTAGCTTTACCATTAAGAAGAAATTATAACTGAACTGAAAAGCATTGTAAACACCATTCTACCTTAGCTTTTCTCGTCTCATGGCGAACAGACAATTTAAGGAACGAAATATCGCAAGAATATGTTTCTGAAAAGCCTGTTCAGTAGTGGTGGGGGAACATTTCAGGCCATAGATGCAATATTAATTTTCGCATTGCATCTGTGTGATCAGAACCATAAGTGTAGCCCTTGTTAGTGTGCAACAGAAGGAGACATTTCATAGTTAACTGCAGACAAAGTCTCCTTTGAATAGCATATACCACGACTATTTCAATTTTGTAAATTTTCATTGCCTTCAACATTTATCATAGTCAAACAGAATATTCTTCTTCATGTATGATCTATTGGAAATAAGCTAAGACTAAGGTTGGATAAGATGATTGCTACCTGTCCTTAAGAGCTTGATCTCACTTCATGATCCAACCTATATTCACGCCGCAGTCTTACCAATCGAGTAGCCAGTATCGATCTTGATGTTGCAGAAATCCATTGCACAAATCTAAAGTTCAATGCTGAAAAAGGAGAAAAAAGGGAACCGTGAGCTCCAAAAATTCCTAGTAACTCGATTATGTCATTTATTATCTCAATGAACTTAAAAAAGGCGCGTGCCAATGCGAGAGCTCCCGCCTGTCATGCGGGGTCTAGGGAAGGGTGTCGATGGCAAGCCTTACCCTTATCTCAATCTTGAGGAGACCGCGACTCGAACCCGGGACCTTCCGGTCACAGTGGTAAGACTCTCTACCGCTTGCACCAGCCCGCCTTTCATTATCTCAATGAACTAAACTTGTAATTTCATCAGCGTTATATTCCTTCCGTTCCAAATTATAAGACGTTTGACTTTTCTAGATACATTGCTTCTCACTGTGTATCTATACATATCTAAGTGCATACTAAAAATTATGTATCTAGAAAAGACAAAACGTCTTATAATTTGGAATGGAGAGTAACATTTATATGTCGTGGATTTCAGGCACCAGAAGTATAGTTCATCGTAGGGCCTGCTATTGACAATTGAAGAGATAGAAAGAGCGAGAGGACTCACCGTTCAACCATTGGTTCACCCGCTTAGTAGCTAGGCAGTGGCGTCAGGCATCCTTTGCGTGCGACGCAATCACTAGTTGCCGCCTCGCGCCGATCACAGAAGATGTGAATGGCGGCGAGGTTGAGCCAGCATTGTCTCGGGCGGACCGTGCACCTGTCGACCGGTGTCCGAGTCAGCGCGCAGTCCGTTCAATGGTCCAGCATGGCGGCGCACGATCTGATGCGCAGATCCAGTCTATGATTGACAGCCGGCAACAGACGCAGCCGCGGCTCGACGAGGGCTCCTCCTCCGGCAACATGATCTTTATAGCGACACAGACGCCCTGGCTAGCGATAAGGGTACCTCATCAACCTGGTGAGACCATTCAGTGCTGTATATAGAGAAGTCATGTCTCCTCTATTTGCAGAACAACACCCCCCCATCAGATTGAATTATAATGAGAAAGAAGGGGTAAAACCCTAATAAAGCTCTATACCCTGGCGTCCATGTCACTGCATAAGCAAGCTGCCATCCCTCCTCACTCCTCCTAGGGCTGTCGTTCCTCCCTCCTGAACCTCCCTCTCTCCAATTCTCACAATCTACTTCCAATCCCCCAATTCTCCTCAAAATCAGGCACATGACATGATCAAATGTGGTGGACTTTGGGTAAAGACGCATATAGTTAGACCACTTCTTCCAAAAGCAATGTTTTATCAAGAAAAAAAAAAGTTACAATTGTCCTAAGGGTGCATTCTCAAATGTGAGAGAGAATTCATCAGGTAAACTGATACAGACAGTGTAAAATTAAAATTCTCCAACTCAATGACAATTGAAGAAAAATATAGGCATTGAAGAATAAAATGTAAATTTAAGAGGGGAGCTGTATATACCTGGATGCAAATAAGCGCATTTGAATTCTGGCCGCAGCACAAGAGATGCAGAAGGTAAGCCAGCAAACTGAAAGCTGACTTTATTCAGTCACAAACCTGCAGCATCAATCATGTTCTCTCTGGAATCCATCTTGCTCATACACGCATATTGCTGCAGCTTCTCATTGAACAGCACGAGAGGATCCTTCTCCTTGAGCACGCCATTTTCGTCATACGCGGCCCTGAGGAATAAGGCCCAGTTCATCTCTGTGCCGGCGAGGTAGAAAGCGCGGTTCTGCTTCTGCAACGACTCGTACATGTGCCTCGTGAGGCCGAATTCCTCCTTGAACTCGACGATGTGGTGGATCATCGCGTGCTTCTCCAGCGTCAGGCTCAGGAACTCGTGCACCACCCCGACGCGGTACTTTTCCGCCTCGTGCGTCCATGGCTTGAGCAGCGCGCCGTTGGTGTACGGCGACACCAGCGGGAACGTGGTCGCCGTGTCGAGGCGATCGGCGTCCTCGGCGTCAAGCGGCATCAACCGGCGGTGTGGGACGGCGAAGCGGAACGTGCGCCGGACGCGGCTCTCGTCCACGACAAAATCGCGCTCCAGCGCACTGACGGCGAGCGCAGGGTCCCAGCGCGCGAGCTCGAGGATGTGGCGGCCGTCCCTGGGGTCGACTACGACGCGGAAGTCGTCGGGGAAGTCGTGCACGCGGTCGCGGAAGTCGTCGGGGAGGCCGAGCACAGCGCGGCAGTGGTGGAGCTTCGCGAGCGGCACGCGGCGGTGGGCCGTGAGCATGAGGAGCTTCCGGACTGCGCGCACCCGCGACGGGAGGAGGTCGTCGTGGATGCGGCGCTCTTCCTCGAGGAGCGAGCACATGAACGGTGTAAGCGCGAGGTGCGGGACGGAGTCCACGACGGGGAGGTGGAACAGCAGCGGGTGGCGCGTAGCGGAGCGCGACACTTTGCGGCCGCGGGGGAAGCCGAGCTCGCGGTACAGCTTGCCGGCCTCGGAAAGGGGGATCCGGTGCGGAGGCGGGAGGGAAGACAGGAACGAGCGCGCGCGGTGGAGGAAGCGGAAGGCCGTATCGCGGTCGAGCACGGCGTCGAGGGCCGGAACGCGACGCGCGGCCTCCGGCTCGATGGGCGCGACCCGTGGGCTGTTGAGCTTCCTCAGGAGCTTCTTTCGCCGCTTGCAGGGGAGCAGTGGCAGGAGCGAGGCCGCCGCTTCCGCCGCCGCTGCAGAAGATGCGGAGGTGGGGGTGGGCGCTGGCGCGGGAGCTGGGGCGGGAAGGAGGAGCGCTCTCGTGGCGCAGAAGAGGCGGCGCGCCATCGCTGGCGGCGGCGGCGCGGCGAGTGATGACCACGTGCGACTAGCTGGGTTCAGTATTCATTCCAGGGTTTGATCAAATCAGCACGGAAATTAAAGGCACCGTAACCGTTGGATTACGGGCCCCGCTACTCCACATCTCAGCCCACACTGGCCCACTTCCAGTCCGTCCTGAACCTGAACTTCTCCCGTCCCCATCGTCCTCGTCGCATCCCGCACTCCTGCAGTCCTGCGTTTCCTCCCCTCCTGAGCCAAACCCCCAATCCTCCGCCCGCCCAGCCGCCGCCGGTGACGGCGCCGCTGGGCAATGGGGACTGAGGTAGCAGCCGTAGTGGACGTCCGGTCGCTGACACAGTCGGATCTCGTGGCCCTAGCTGCTGCGTCGCCCTACGCCGTCGACCCCCGCCGGGGCCGCCGCCGCGATGGCGAGTTCCTCCCGCCCCCGAAGATCGACCGCGCCGTTTTCAACGAGAGCGCAGGTTCCCGCAAGCAGACCTTCTCCCGCCGCCGCGTCGCCACCAACATATCCCACAACCTGACGCCCACCACCACCGGGGCCGCCTCCTCCTTGTCTACGCCAGCTGCCCCCACCGAGGAGGACCCCGAGAACCGCCTCATCGTGTTCCACCTCCAACGCCTCTTCGCGCTTGACGACCCCTCGTACCCTGCTCCGCCTCCGATTCCACCCCGACCGCAAACCCTAGCCGCGCCCGCGATAACAGCACCTGCGCCGTCGCCGCCGGCGGCGGCGGCTGCTGCTGCGGCGACAGACCCCGATAGGGTAGTGCTGAATCCAAAGGGTGTGGCGGTTGATCTGGCGAGGCTCGCCGAGCTTGTGGATCCCTATGGGGAGGAGCTACGGCAGCGTACGGCAGGATTGGGGTCGGAGTCCGAGCTGCTGGGATTCATGAACGCGCTGGAAGGGCAATGGGGAAGCAGGAGGCGTCGAAGGAAGTTCGTGGATGCTGGCATGTTCGCTGACCACCTGCCCCGTGGATGGAAGCTGCTGCTTGGGCTCAAGCGAAAGGAGCGTGTCGCATGGATTAATTGCCGCCGTTATGTGAGGTCTGTTCCTGTACCCAGGCACACTTGTTTATTGTAGCATAGGCTTCAGTTGATAGGGTTTTAGAGTGTGTATAATGATTTAGATTCTGTTTCAAACTGTTGCAAAGTGATTCTATGCAATAGTTTTTTCACAAGGTCCATGGTAGCCTCACAGTGCTTCTGTCGTAGAAAGATTGGCTACTTACTCTTTAGCACTGAGTTGCCTTTTGCCAATAGGTCAGTACCTAACTGAAACATGAAATTGAGATTAGGAACATAAGACTTCTGTGTGGAATGTGCTGCTCAGATTCATGGCCTCACTCAAGCGCTTAAACGTATATACAATAGGCTTACAGCTACGAGCTGCGTATATCTGAACAACTATCATCTTCATTTACATTTGAGAAAAATAGGCTAATACCCAAACAAGCGAAATTAGTGAATTACCATCGCATCAACACTGATGCTTGTACCATCACAAACGCATGCAATTATAAAAAAAACATAGCTTTTCTGTGAAAATGTCTATTTGTTTCCTTTTAACGATCGCATCAAGACTGATGCTAGCGAAGTTTTGTAGCTGTTTAATGAAAAGCATAGCTGTGACAAATCTTTGCTAGAAGCCTACAACAGTATGCCACTATAACATCTGCCTTTACAGTGCTTAATTTCCACAACACCTGGGCATATGCACTTTTTGATTGATTTCTCATCTCATTAGTAGCCTATTGCATTTGTCACATTATTTTTCTACAACTGTTGTTTACCTGTGCTGATTGCTTATATCATACTTTCAGCCCCAAAGGACATCAGTTCGCTACTTGCAAAGAAGTCTCTTCCTACCTCATGTCCCTTATTGGATATCAGGAGGCAAAGACAACTGCGTTTCAGATTAATAGTGCAGGAGTGCATGGCCTAGATGTTAATGTAAGTTTTAATTATGCATTTTATTTGTGTGCTTGGGTTTTCATAGTTTAATTTAAAAGTACTTTTGATTAGTCTGTAGGTCTTCATCAGCAAACCATCTCAATTGAGGAAAAGCAAATTTCAGTGCCAGTTAATTCAGTTACATTGTTTAATCCCTCTGGTGATTCTCATCAACAAAAACTTCAGAAGGATGAAGCTCCAATAGAAGTGAATGCAAAGGAGTGCCGGAAATGCAATTTGACGTTTCATGACCAGAGCGCCTATATGCAACATCAGTTGTCCTTTCACCAAAGGAAAGCTAAAAGGCGCAGGGTTAGTAAATCTGGAGAATTGGATACCAACATAGATGGAAAGTACGAGAAGACTCAGCACAAGACATCTGGAGAGGTATCTGGCAATTTTGGCCACAGCGTTGTAGATGTAAGGTATCAAGGTCCGAGTCCAGCAGAACTGTTTGATGGTCAACCATCCTTGGTGGCAGTGCCATGTGGATTTGAGGAGATGATTGTGTTGCCTCAACAGGAAAAAAGAACCTTCTGTGTTGCCTCAACAGGAAAAGGAACCTTCTGTGTTGCCTCAACAGGAAAAGAACCTTCTGTGTTGCCTCAACAGGGAAAAGAACCATCTATGTTGCCTCAACAGGAAAAGAACCTTCTATGTTGCCTCAACAGGGAAAAGAACCTTCTATGTTGCCTCAACAGGAAAAGAACCTTCTGCGTTGCCTCAACAGGGAAAAGAACCTTCTGAGTTGCCTCAACAGGGAAAAGAATCTTCAGGAGATATCTCTGTGAATCATCAGGACCCTCTTAAGGAGATGAATGGCTTTCCTGAACAGGAAAAAGGACTTGCTGCTGGAGAACTCGTCCCTGTGCATCATAAGGAGTCTCTTAAGGATATTACAGATACAGGTGAAATAATAAAAGAACATCCCACCAGAGAGCCTTCCTCTGGGCATCCTCTGGATACTGTTGACAATTCTGATGACCATAAAACCCACGATGAAGCATGTGACAGTGCTGTAGCTTCTCTTTCTGTTGATGCTGAAAGAAAATTGAGTATTTGCAACTCCATGAATGTTCATGAGAATGTCAGCTCAAAAGATTCAGAACTTTCAAGTGCAGATTATTCCCAAAAGTTCAATAGGTCTGATGAAACTTGTGATGTACATAAAGAGGTTTCTTCAACTGTAAATGATCCTGATGAAAGAAAATGCACAGATGATCCAACGGGGTGTATTAATATGACACAATCCATACAAGTTTCTGAGTCCTGTGATCTACTGCATGGCAAATTTGTCAGTTCTCCTGAAGAACATGATTTTAATGGCCAGCTGGAAAGTAACCCACTTTCAGTATCTAGGGATGAGCCTGATCTTAATTCAATTGGTATGGAAGTGGATGATGGCAATATATCTTGCAACGTCGAAAACCCCAGAAGCTTCAAAAGTGACAAATCTGCTGAGGACAAGATTATGGATTGCGAAATGACTTCTTTGAAAGACAGTGAACTAAAAAATGGTGTGAGAGTAAGGGATGTAAATCTCAATTCATGTTTGGATTCAATATCTTCTCCTATTTCTGGTGGAAACTATGAAACATCTGATACTCCTGATGATGCTATTCGATCATCCATTATTGCCCAATGCTTCGGTACTACCTCTAATGATGACACTGCTTGTAAGGATGGAAACTTTGCCGACCAGAACAACACCTGTAAGGGTGAACATTTTGTCAACCAGAAAAATGACATGATGTATCAATCTAATTTGGCCATGGACCCTATACCTCGAGCTCAAATAAATGTGGATTGTTTCACTTCTTCCTGTTCAATGACTCCTGAAATCAAGGACTATGGCAACAGAGGTGAAGATAGTGCCAAAGAAGCATTGGTGAATTCACAAAACATGACAAGTAATGAAACTGGTTTTGATGCTGAAGCTTATAACAGTGATATCTTCAATGGTACTATCACAGAAAGTAGTCTTGCCCAGCTGAATAATGTCATTCATATGAAACATGATTTTGCAAACTGTTACTCATTATCTGACCTAAACACACTTACTGGTGGTGGTACAACAACTGATGATATTGATATCCACAATATGAGGAGTTCTTTTGTCAGCTCCACCAATCGAACTGAACCAAATGAGCACTGCACGTTGGATTTTGATATCAAGGGTTCCATGCTTGAGGCATTGGAAAAATCTGACAGTGACTTAGATAATCAATACAACGATGCGGGCCCTTCTTGTGACTCACTACCTGCTACTGGGACAAGTGGGACTATTGATGATTTTATGGCCATGCAAACCAATTTTGGTAGCTTTACTTCTTTGGTTCGTGCTGTTGAAGATGTTCCACTGAGCAGGATTATGCAAGATCAGGTTAATAACTATTTAATTTATTTTAGTATAGGCACCTTTAGTATATCATCTAATAGGAATAGCCTGCATAGGTTTGAATGGGTCATTATGCCATTGTTTTCCACACATCAGTGATAGATCTGTAGGCTTTAATTAGTATATTCACTATTATTCCTGTGGGTCCATACTCACCATATGCATGGAGGAAAATATGCTCATCTACTTGATAACTGAAACATATATGATGTTAGATAACAAGATACTCTTTTGCTTGATAACCGAAGTATATGTGAGTTTCATGATATATTGTGTTCGTGTAGCTTTCTCTGTTTCAAAGGCGCGTTGCTTTCTCTGTTTCAAAGGTGTCGCTTAGGCGGACCCAGCTCGCCTTGAAGGTCTAGTTATGCCTTGTTGCCTACCCTAGCCTCGGGTTGCCTTAAGCTTTTGCTGTAGTTAAACTGTAACTAGCTCTATATCTAAGGCTTATCTTTGTACCATAGGTGTACAGTTTATGCACTATTTATTGTGGCATATTTATTCACTTACATGCTAATCAAGTTTGTTTATGCCATTCTGTTTTCTAATAACAAGCTTTGATTGTTCTTGAAACAGTGTGATTTGCAACTTGGATTTGGTGGCCCCAAGCAGCAGATCTATCCAAGCTTTGAGCAACAGCTAAGGATGGCCTCAGCTGGAGCTCCGCCTTATGGGGGCATGGGTAGGCATGACTCTATACCTGTACCAGAGCCAACATTGATGCTAGGTTATGCACCACAGCTGGGTAACTGCCCCCCTCCGTTCCAGTTGGGCTGGGGTCCGTCCTATTCGAAGATGGTTGACATGCTCCAATCTGTGTGCGTGTGGTGCAATAGCCCATTCCAGCATTTCGGCACCGTCGCTGAGCAGCAGGCAGATTCTCTTGGTTACATTTGCCCGTCGTGCAAGGGGAAGTTTTCTGGTCATCTTGGCATCAACGGGCCATCTATTTGAGACCAGTTTCTTGTAACCTGAACTGGTACTGGTCCACCATCAGTTTCAGTCTAATTAATGAGTCAATTTGCACTTGTAGTATGTACTCCCTTTTAACTTGTGGCCTTGTGCTAAGGAATGAATGCCCTCGAAATCCTAAGAAATTGATAACGTGAAACATTTACAGGAGGTTTTTCATGCTAGAATCCTTGCCGCGTTAGGTGTTTGTGTGAAGTTTTTGGTGGCTAAGCCGCTGGATGGTAGTTGTCGAGGTATCTTTCAGAATCCGTGAGCATAATGCAATTTATTAGGTGGGTCTGTAGGTGTTTTATCAAGCTGATGTTGCATGGTTTGATACAACATACTGTTTCTTCGTGGCGTGATCCTTAATAAAAAAATGACTACGGTGAAATTGAAGGAATGCAGAGTTGTTACCAAAGCTTATGAATAGAAACAAATATTTTTTTTCCTTTTGTAGAAGTGGGAATGTGAAGTGCATTTTTGTAGGTGGAGATCTCGAGGAGGGGTATGAACAACAAAGTGACCAATACGTTTAATTTCCAAACATACCCCATTTGTTCTGTGGAGCTGGGCGTTGCCATGATATACTTAGCCCTAATATACTACTCTTACTAGGCGTGAGGGTTTTCATCCAAGGTTGGCAAGCAATAATTTAATTCTACAAAGGTAAACTACTCAAATGACTTGCATAAAAATAAATTGAGTACAAGATATAACCAAATTGGAGACGCCCATTTTTTCCCGTGGTATCGATGACTTACTGGTCACCCTCTAATCTCGACGTGGGTTTAATATTCTTTGCTCCTCTTTCAAGAACTTCACTTGATTTTTGAGCCGTCTAGACCCATAGAATCACTTCACATCTCGATTTCACTAGAGTTGTTCTTTACCACTCTAGTGGGGTGAGCACAAGAACACCCTCACAATAACTTCTAGAGCACATTCACAATCTTCTTTGAAGTGCTTCAATAGAACCATGAACTCCAAGCTGCATTTGAGGTGGCAACCTCCAAGAGTTAAATGTTGATGATGAAGTCTCCCTAGTATCACAAAGATCAAACTCTTGACACAATTCATTAGAATGCTCTCAATCTCACAAAAATGGAATCCTAAGCAATGTGTGTGAGTGAGAGATGGAAGAAGGCTATAGAATGTCAAGGAAGCTTTCTCAAGTGCCAAAACCTTACTCCCATTGTCAGAGGTGGAGTATACATAGGTCCCACAACAAAAACTAGTGCTCATGCCAAGTGGAATGAGTCCATGAAATTCTTAGGGGCAGCTTGATCCTGGATCTAGAGAATATGTTGCTTAGCAGAATCGTCCCATCCTTAGTTATATCTAAACCAAACACATATCAAAGTGAAGATATCTCACTTAGTCCCATCCTGTCGAACATGGGTTCTATCAACAAGATCTAGCACATTTATACAGGACGCCGAGCTTTTATTAGCTAGCTAAAGCTCTAGGGATTGTTTGGATTAGCTAATAGTCCAGTCTTATAGTCACACTTATAGTTCAGCTTGATCTAACCAATCATCTTGCTAATAAAACATATTAGCTAGCTCCCATCCAAAGAAGCCCTAAAAGTGTAAAGAGTGGCCAGGCCTCCTGCACCATACATGCTCTCTTCTTCATTGCCTCTTTTATCTTTCATTTTTGGTTCTTTTAGTAACGTAATATAATTTATTCTAGCCACTTTGTTTCCTTTATCTTTCTAAACAGTAAACACTGCATCAACCTTTGTTGTTCTTTTTTCCTCCTTCGTATGTGAAATTTGTGTTTGAACATGTATAAGGTAATAAGAAGAAACAAAGAGAGGAATCATCAGTTTCAAAGTCTACATGATCTGTGGAGTTTGTTGACACCAAGTCCTCGCAATCCTTGTGGGACAAATCAGTTAATTGATGAGTGACTTACCATGCCGCCATATGAGTACCCACTCTGACACGAAGCCCGTCTCCCTTCCAAATGCATCCTTCATTACTACACTACATAAATCATATATTTCATCGCCAACACAAAGATCTGATCCTTCATTACCGCACTACACAAAGAGAGGCTGCTGGGTGTTTAGGAGTCTAGGATTGGTATGCTCAAGCGTGTGGAAACCACCATGTTTAGTTTTCAGGATTACAAAATGACAACATCAAAGCCATGGGTTACGTGGTCATAGGCATGCTATTGTGCTTCTTATGTGCATCCTGTATCTGACATTTGCAAGACCAATGCATGTGGTTGGAAGTCCTACAGGCAACACGATAGCAAAGGTAGTGGATTTGAAGAAAAGATGTATATAATATTGAGTTAAATGCACCGGAGCATGTATAAATATATGCACATATAGTTTTGTTGCAATCCGTAGGGGATTACAACGGATGACTAGACGAAATCGGAGTTTAGAATGGGTTTCAGCAAGAACGATAGATTGGGTTCAGAAGAACAGACGGGTTTAAGAAGAAAGCAGTTAGGGAACACGGTTCAGAGGTTCAGGTTCTTATTCGATAAGCAACTCTGATCAGTTACACGGGCTTATATTCATGCCCGGATAGCTGGACTCACGCCTAATCCACCGACATAATAGCCAAATGCCTAATAACATGGCCCACACCCACCAGCTAAGCTCCTCAATTCGATAGCATACGCAGACTCAGCCACTTGCCGGGCCTGTTGCCTGACGCCCAACAGTGCCACGACGCTTGCCACGATTCCTAACATTACCTCCCCCTCGAAAGCCAGCTTGTCCCCAAGCTGGACAGTTTGGGTAATGTCGACGCAAATCATTTTCTTCTTCCCAAGTGGTCATCGATGGTGGCAAAGAACCCCAGTGCACTTGAATTGGAGCAACCACAGAAGCACCTTTCCTCACCATCCGAGTTACGGAGAACTAAATTGGCTAGACAGCTTCAGCAGGATCAGTTGGGACCTGACTAATATCATCTTCAACCTGCTCAGTTGAAGGCACATGCTTCTTAAGCTGAGACACATGAACCACCGAATGGATCTTAGAACCTTCAAGCAAAGCCAACTTATAAGCCATTGCACCAATTTTCTGAAGAATAGGAAAGGGGCCATAAAACTTGTAACAAAGCTTCCATATTGGACCGAGGGGCAACTGAGGATTGAACATAAGGCTGAAGCTTTAGATAGGCCGAATCCCCAACCTAGAAATCTCTTTCACTTCTATTCTTGTCATCCTGTGATTTCATCCTCTGTTGAGCATGGTGCAAGTGATGCTGAATGCTGTCAAAAATTTCTTTCAATTAACCACTACTCCAACTCAAATGAATGGAAAGTGGAATCATTAGTGATACCAAAATGCTTTGGAGGATGTCCATACAACACTTCAAAAGAAGATCTCCCCAGGGCAAAATGATAATTGATAATTGGTGTTGTACCAAAACTCTGCAATAGACAACCATTTACTCCACTGCCTTGGACAGGCATTGACACTGCACCTGAGAAAATTTTCTAAACATTGATTGTGTCTCTTTGTCTGCCCATCAGTTTGAGGATGATGTGGAACTCATCATCAGTTTGGTGTTAGTCAATCTGAACAATTCTCTCCACACTGCACTTATAAATATCTTATCCCTGTCAGACACAATAACTTGAGGTAGGCCATGAAGTTTGTACACTAAATCCAGATAGGCTTGTGCTACTTGGGTGGCAGTATAAGGATGAGCCAAAGGGATAAAATGCACATACTTAGTAAACTTATCCACAACTACCATAATGGTGTCAAATCTCTGAGATTTTGGAAGACCCTCCACAAAATCCATGCACACAATTTGCTAAGCTTGCTCAGGAATAGGTAAAGATTGCAAAAGGCCAGGTACCTTGGTATGCTCACTTTTAGCTTGTTGATAGACTTGGCACTACTATACAAACTGATAGATTGCTTCTTTCATTCTTGGCCAAGAAAAAATATTTCTGATTCTGTAATAGGTGGCCTGAATCCCAGCATGCCCACCCACAGTGGAATTATGAACTGCCTGTAACACATGCTGCTGAGCCAATTTGTTATTGCCAAGCCAAATTTTCCCTTTATACCTGATGATGCCATTCTAGATAGAATAATCTTTTGGTGGATCATGCAAAACTTTAACTGCCACTGCATCATCTAAATACCCTAGTTTTAACTGCCGAAGCCAAGTTGGATTACATAATGATATAGCCAAAAGATGATCGAGCCATGGCATCTAGATAAGGCATCAGCCATTGTGTTATGAATGCCCTGCTTGTAAATGATTTTGAACTGAAGATTCATCAATTTCAGTAAAGCCTTGTGCTGAATTTTAGAACTAACTCTTTGCTCAGTCAAGTCTGATAAGCTCTTGTGATCGATTCTAATCACAAATTCAAAGATGTGTAGAGTATTGCCTCCACTTCTCCATAGCCAAAATAATTGCCAAACATTCCTTTTCATAAGTGGACAAGGCCTGGTTCTGCTTACTTACTGGCTTGCTCAAATACGCCATAGGATGATTATCTTGAAGTAGCACAGCCTCAAATCCCACATCACTACCATCTGTTTCCAATACAAATTGCTTATTGAAGTCAGGTATAGACAACACTGGTGCATTAATCAAAGCCATCTTGAGCTACTCAAAAGCTGTCTGAGTAAGTGATATCCACACATAGGGGGTGCCCTTCTTAAGTAATTCAGTAAATGGCATGCTAATGAGTCCATAATGCTTTATGAACTTCCTGTAATAGCCTGTCAAACCCAGAAACCCTTTTAGTTCCTTGACATTTGTTGGTTTTGGCCATTGCTCTATAGCAAGAATCTTTGACTTCTCAGTAGAAACTCCTTTAACTGAAATACAATGTCCCAAGTACTCTACCTCCTCTTGAGCAAAAGTACACTTGGACAGTTTGATGTAAAACTGATGTTGCTTCAATATGTAGTATTTGCATGTGCTCCTCCCAAGTCTTATAATATGAGTATGTCATCCATAAACACCAAAACTCCTTTTCTGAGTAATGATGCAAAAATGATA